ATGGAAGCAAAAAGAATTCAAGGCAATTTCATGAAATAATGACATCATTGGTAGGCATTATTCAGATATTACTCGTTAATACGCATTAGAACTTTGTTCACAATTTGGTCAATGATTTTGAATTCTGTTAACAGAAATAAATTTGTTAGCCCTATAACAGACATCATAAAGTAGTATTAACTACGACATGGTTTAGTTACCATGCTCAAAACAAACACGCATCATATTACTTATGGAGAATATTTTACTAATTAATGTGTCACTTACAGTAATGTTATACACGGTTTATGTATATGTTCAGAAAGTGGGTAGACAAGGCTATCAAAGTCATTCGGTACTCAGATACTTTTTTCTCAGATACGTTACATAATAATATGTCGATTCTGTCTAAAACGATGATGCTTATAATAGATAGAACTATAGTAAGGAAAGACGACCAGACGCTGCTACGCATAGCAAGCTATCAGAAGAGTGTTTAGTAATGGCAAATTCGTTCGGTTTAAACTTCTGGCTGGTCACGTCTTAGGGTCATCACTATACCACTAGGGGGGAGAAGTGATCTGTAGTAGTAAGTAAATCCCCAAAATCAGTAGCGCTGTGAGTCTTCAACATTCGATGCTGACCACATTTGTTTTAATGGACTCGCCCAGCTGAAGGTGCTCGGTCATGCATCCGCATCCGATCACGAGTTGAAACGACGTGCTCAACATCCCCTGCAATCTCTAGCCGGTTTAGATCAGTCGATCCTCGATATATTGATAACCTATCAAATATATTTTCGAACCTCCTCGCTTCTGTCGTTTGAATTCACTTGGAGGGTGCGATTCATATTCAGTGTTACTGGTTAAAACGTTGTCAAACTCCAAATACTTATGGCGTCTTCAGAAGTATTTATGGCTGTACTTTAGCAAGTTATATAATATTCATAAATAGTTTAACGCATAATTGCTTCAACCTACATTTTATGGACAACCAACAACATTCATGTTCATCAACATCATAATGAGAGAGGTGAACCAAACGAAAGAGGTTTTAGAGCTTACTTTTCATGTAAACTTTAATTGCGGTCTATTTTTGACTTCATAAGTGGTGAATTTTTACTTGCTTGAGTTTGTATTGTTACAAATAACCACATTAGACTGACTAAACATCCACCCAGTTTGTGAGCAACAACTACAACAAACCACTAATAAACTGAAATAAAAGCTATGTAACAAGCACAAACATTACAAAAATTGACATGCGACGGAGAAAATGCTGATAATAGCTCATAAATTACGACATCCAAAGCCCTTGACAACGTGTAGCGTGCGCGCGAAAACCCATAGTCTGACTTCTTCACCATCCGGACCATGCCTAAAAATCCCAAATGACCATGTAGGGCAACGTACTGTCATTATGCAGTTCTAGATTTTCGTTCGCATAAGAATCAGGGGTTTTATTTTAAATTTGTATATTAGAGAAATGGTCGAAGTAAAGCGGGTCCTCATAGCCAATTAGACTTGGGATATAAGTTGAATAGTGTCCTTCACAGTTACTTCTTCGGCCCGTCGTGTGATATGGTCCACACAGGTCGAAAAGTAAGAGTTTCCGTTTGAACCTGATATTGATACTGGTTTAAATGAGCCTGAAAAGTTGCGTTAGAGCCTGAGATATGTCTGCTGTATTTTATCGCCTTCGATTATTCATCTTACATAAAAGCGTGCCCACTCCTTCACGTCTTTATGCACACCAGGCCAGAGAAATCAATTTGTTATGAGCTCGATGGTTGACCGAACAACTAGATGAGATTATGACATTATGCAACGTACTGAAGACGTCGCATCGATAATATTCCGGAGCCATTGGATGATCTCTAACTACAGATGTGTCACATGACAAAATATCCTTGCCTATTCCCGCCTGTTTGACCCATAGTTCCAGGGTTTTCGAAGATAACTCGTGCTGAAAATCAGTATCTCCTCTATGAAGCTATACGAGTTTAAGAAAGCTGATCTTTTGAAAACCGTTCAATGAAGTTGGACGAGACAAAGTGTCTGCAACAACATTGTTCACCACACAAATTCGTTGTATATCTGAAGCAAACTGTGAGGTGCGGTTCAATAATCGAGTCTCCCGAACGGAGTAAATGTCTCAAGATCAGCTTAGATAGGTGAAAAGAGTGGCGAAAAGAGTGAATTGTCAGCCTCCTAAAAAGTTCATTAAGTCCATTAAGTGATAGTAGTCTGATATCGAAAGTTCAGTGTCCTGCGACTGCCTCGAGAAGAATGCCAAAGGTTGTCAACTATTGCTCACTTATTGTTGTAAAAATCAACTGATAGCCGGGTCTGACTCATCCACGGTGATAGTAGTGGGTGCTTTGATGTCCTGGTGTGAGAGTATGGTTGCTTTAGCGATAAGTTCTTTCATTGTAAAGGATGCTCTGTTTCGTTTGTCGTTTAAATTGATGAATTTCGCAATTCCCTATGGACAGTAGAAAAACGTTTATCAGGCCGTTGAACGTACGTGATAACTTGACTATAGTTGGTTCCGGATAAATCACAAAGGCTGCCATTTCGTTTTGCAGAGGGCGGATGTCTTTAGAATCAATAGTGTGTCTGAAGAAATCTGGGATTTCGGTTCACGTTTGAAATTTTTTAATGCTTACAGCAATACCGTATTCCTACATTCGTTTGAAAACAGGTTTCAGATTATGGACATGAGATTTTCTATCTGGACCTGCAATCATGCAGCCATCGACATATTAGTATACGAAGTCGAAACCTCGAAAACGTCGTAGATGAACTTCTGGAAAGCTAGCGTAGTATTTTTAAACCGATATTTCTAGAGTTCAAAGGACGTGATGATAGCAACTTCAGAGACATTGCCTTCATCCTTAGGAATTTAGATATACGCTTTAGCCAGATGGATTTTTCTGAAAGCAGTTGCACTTTGCAAAACAGAAGTCAGGTCACTGATGTGTAGCATCAGCCCAAAGGCTGAACTTCCACTTGAGGATTTTGGTAAAATGACTTTAAAATAAACGTATCTTTTGTCACTTTTCCGCTGGTCAACTGTAAGTATAAGACCAGACCTTGTAGATGATCAATAATATTCTCGAGAAGAACGCTTATTTTCGACCGTGTTGACATGATAGCGAACCTTCGTCATCGTGTCAGTGATGTGTAACAGATAGTTATGTCCATTGGCTACGGTTGTTGTAAAAAACTCTAGGGTTTCCTGAAATTTCTAGAAGACTTGACATTCCTGTTGTGGCGTCAACGCCAATCAGTGTTAACTGCTTCCTGTGGTCTAGGAAAAAATTTTTTTGGCAGCACGATTCTTTGGGCAGTTTCAAAGCATTCACTTTTAGGATGAGCATTAAGATATGAGTGGAAGTATTGCAGAGATCTGCGACATCCTGGGTCGTGTAACGCTTTTCCTTGACACAAAAATCCCCAGCATCGAGGATACTTGTAATCTCAAAATCCAACCAGTATGTGCAGTCAGTTCGTCTGCAGCGTTATTTTGCAGTTGCTGGGGCAGCTTAGCTAAGAAGATGTATCTAAATATCTCTAGTCAAAAGCCCATCGATCGATCATTTCCTGCACACGCATTAACATTTTCGTTGCTGAGCCGTGTTGAAATTCTATACTGTGAAACAGCTCATCTAATCTTTGTCGACCGTTTGGATTTCCATCCTTAAGGATTGCTTTTTTGAATTGTCATGATGTTCAGAAACATCAGTCGTGAACATACTAGGTACCATAATATATTGAAAACTGTAATATATAAATTTGCAAACGAATTATACAATAATATATCGAGGGACACATTCAAAATTTATCGTTTAGAGAACCACAACATGTCAGGCTAACCACCCGAAATAGAGTGACAATTCTTTTTTCATTACATCACTGAAATCCAAACCACTCGAATCAGAAGATATGGATGGATGAGATTGAAGACATATTTGGGAGTTGTAGATTTTTTGAGAAACGTTTTATCTAAGTCTCCCAGTAGTTTTAAGAGATTTATATCACGGCATACTTATTCGTGGTCTGGTGGGGATGCGTGACAGATCGCCTCCAGCTATTGTGGGTCCAGTAAACTAATGAGATGAATACTGATGTCGAAGACCTACACAACTGTTTTTGTAGTATCTGCGTACAACTTCACTAACAATGTTGGTTGAGTCAAACTATTTTTAAATAAATAGTTAGAGTAGGTATCATTACTAAGGTTGGATTTCATAATTTCAAATAAATTGAGCAGTGGGTAGATTGTAATAAATAAATAGTATATTTGTAATATCCCAATGAGTAGAAAAATTAGATTTTCTAACGTTACGTGGGTTAGTGTAAGTCACTTCTTCAGAGAATAAATTACCAAATTAAAATTAAACCTGGATTAATTTTAATTTGGTGATTTGTTCTCTGAAGAATTGACTTATACTAACCCACGAAATGTCAGAAAACCTCATTTTTCTACTCATTTGGATATTACAAATATACTATTTATTTATAAATATTTGGAGTGTCAATTTTCGCATAGACCCAGATGGCTTATGTACAATTTGCGAAAAATCAGTTAAGATTAATCATATGACTAGCTTCAGCTATGTATTCTGTAGTAGAGGCAGATGGATTTTTATCCTGGTCCGGATAATTTCAGCCTTCTTATTACTTTATTTATAAAGTTAGCTGTGCTCCAGAGCTCACTCGAACACTCATATAAACTCGGTCCTGAAGCATGTCTTTGGTTAAAAATTCTTAGACGTTTTGGGTAAAAGATATCTTTTCAGATGCCATAAAACCTTATTTTCATGAATATTCTGTTCTTGGAATTACCCTTCATCTAAAGTGCTTCATGCAACATCCATCTAGACCTTTTAGAAAACCTGACTTATTCTTCGAGAACTAGGACGTCTCACACCAATTTACTAATAATTTGTTTATTTTAACGTTTGACAAATATTTATGTTTTCATCTAAAACTACTTGTGTTAAGGTATCATTGAACAAGGAATCGCGCTAAGTCAAACTTCTACCCCACTCAACCATTTAAACTATACATACATTATGGATCTGGGAGACACTTATGAAGAAAGTGATAAGTTAACGATTATGCCTCTGTAAGTATTTTACCCATTCTTACTACAGCCAAATTTATTTTCCCCCAAAAGTATGCCAGTTCAATTGATAATGTCATTGTACATACTATAGGATGTACAAAGACACTACTACTATGCATAGTTGTTAAAGCCATAGTTTTAACTATTTTAAATCTATTTATGCAGGATACTGAATTAGTGTTCATGTGATTTCTGTGACTAGTGGTTAACGACTCCAAATGATGTAGCTCAAACCATTCTCAATCACTCAAGTGCATCAACTATATTTTTTCCATCATATTACAAGCTTTTCAGTTATCTCTATTGATCCACAAACTGGTACATCTGAAATTCTATCTTCTATGCCTAGTTTTTCCCGTTGCCAATGATAGTATTGGTACTTCTGCGCACATGTTTTTCTCACAATCACAACCAAAACTGGCTTAATTCTGAGTTGTGCTACATTTACCGAAAAATTTGATGGGATCATCCTGAAACTGATGAATTTTGTCCAAAAGTTTGAAGCTTAAAAACAGACCAGTGCACATGTCAGGTTTTGCTCTGTGTTTACTGAATTAGATAGCTCCAATTGTGTGAATTCATAGCAGTAATGCAAAATATTTCATTGGTTTAACATGGGAATTGTTTATTTAAGTCTGTTTACTTTCGATCTGCTTGGCAGTGGGACTGTTCTTGCTGCATCCACTTCTCCATATCTGATATCTTACTTCATATCCCTTGCAGGATTGAAGAAATATGGAAGTTTATCTGACTCATAGTCATATATAAAAATTAATATTCCAGTCTCCTTAATATCCGAGGTCAATAAATCATTGCCCTTAGTTTCACATCTTAATCACTGATAAACGTCCGATTTATTCCGTAACCAAGATGTTTATCTGATATTGTCTTTTAGCGTGAAGTCATTAACGAAGTTATTTTGTAAACAACGTATACAGCATTCATTACAGCATAAATTTGAAGTCTCATTGAGTAGTTTTTTGTGGCCTCCAAATGCCCTGGTACGACTGAAAGTGGTGAAAGTTAGCTCTCCTCGAAATGCTCTCACATGGCCACGTGTATACAACCACTGCCAGGGAAGTCCTGCTCACCGCCTTCTCGCGGCGGCGGTGTTGTTTACGAAATTGAGAGGACAAAAAGCGAATGTCCGGCGCTTTATCCGGGTTGGTGGACACGGAGATTTCATCTAGGGAAGTTGGAAAACCCTGATTCCAAACCAATAGTGTACGTGAGCTCCAGTATCTTGAAGTAATAAATAGCATACGAAGCAGTCGTTGGTCACCGGCTACCATGGGACTGCATCTCCTGACGTTGCTCCACTGGCTTGTGGACTAGACCTTAAGGTCAAAGGCTCCGGGTGTGGCTCCTAAGAAGGCCATCTGCTTCAGTTTCGGCACATGGGCAGTATCCCAGCTCTCACACAGATCGAATGATTTATGTGGCGCATATCTATTTGGTGCTTCCTTGTACCAATGTTCATGTGTTTAAATAAATAAGTTTTTCGTAAAAGATAACACCCAAACAAGTAGCAATTTGCATGCAATTTAAGAGAGTATATTTCACTGTTATTTCCTCTAAGCTTATGATTTTAAGATGATCTAGCTTAAATATTCTTCTGTAGTATAAAAGTGCAATTAAGTTCCAGACCGAGTGCTTTTTGCTTCCTTTTAAATAGATTTCAGGACCTGAGATCATTTTAGCTAATCTGTAATCCGCTGTGCATTGGATACAAAATGTGGATAATTTGATTAGTCCCCATACAACACCGGCAGTTAGGTTTTATATACATCATTCTTTCCTATTGAATCACTTATTCCATTAAATTCTAACGTCCAAGTCGGTCTTTAAAATTTAATACCGTGTAATCTATCGTCTCTAGCAGTATAACCAAGACATTTCCAGCTACTCATCTGTCACCTGAATAAAGCTTTTTTACCCTTAATATCTTCTGGTGTCATTGCAATCTATCTTGTAATCGACTCATGACTTCTGCACATGATGCATTATGTGGACACTATAGGCTAATGATATTTAACAGTTTTCTCTAGTTTGAATTGTCTGAGCCATAGATCTCTTCGTTAGAAAATTATAAACTTTCTGTAAAAGCAAGGCTTAGTACTCGAGGTTATTGAGCTTCCCTGACGTCAAGTAGGATTCGGCAGGATCTTAATTGTTCTCATCACTATTTTTTTGACTCTTATTCAGAAAGTAAATGCAAGAGTTCAGATGACTGTGTCGGCTAAAATGTTTAATAGACGTCTAAGCTAAATAAATTACTAGTTGACCCTAACATTAACATTTAAGTAAAATTAGTGAGAAATAAGATTAATATAATTGTTATTTATTGGACTCATTTAGAAAGGCTTCCGGTAAATTTCATTAACCCTTACTTTATCCTTTAATTTATTATTTCAGTGGCGCTGGTCAAGAAGTTGGAAGGTCATGTATACTGTTAACATTTAAAGGGAAGAAAATAATTGTAAGGTGTTCCATTGTCTTTTATAAATATATGTTCACAGCTGGATTGTGGTATACATCCTGGCTTACGCAACAGAGAAAGCCTGCCATTCATTGATGCAATCCCGGATATCCAAACGACAGACCTTATTTTGATTAGTCAGTAAGTAACTTAATCTCAATGCAATATGCATAGCTTTCATCTTGATCACTGTGGAGGGCTTCCACATTTGCTTTTAAAGACTGGAGCTAAGTCAAAATGTTACATGACACACGCAACGAAAGCTATTTATCGTTATTTGCTTGCTGACTTTGTTCGTGTTAGGTGAGCTTTTAATACACTAAAGATATTATACTGGTTAGCAATTCTGGTGGCCTACCGGATCAATTATTGTACAGTGATCGAGACATAGTAGCTAGCTTAGACCATATTGATACCATAGATTTTCACCAAGAACTTGAAGTTAACGGGATAAAGTTTTCTGCCTATCATGCTGGACATGTGTTGGGTGCAGCGATGTTTCTAATAGAAATTGCTGGTGTAAAAGTTCGTCCTCCTTTACAGATAACTTTCATAGAGTCCATCTAGATTTTATATACTGGAGATTTCAGCCGACAAGAAGATAGACATTTAATGTGTGCTGAAATTCCGCCTATACGCCCAGACGTTTTGATAACCGAAGCTACTTATGGTATCCATATCCATGACAAACGAGAAGAAAGAGAAGCTAGGTTTACTAGCTTAGTTCACGATATTGTCACTCGTGGAGGGCGCTGTTTGATTCCAGCATTTGCACTTGGCAGAGCCCAAGAATTAATGCTGATTCTTGATGAATATTGGGACAATCATCCAGAACTGCATGACATACCTATTTATTATGCCAGTCAGCTCGCACGGAAATGTATGGCAGTTTACCAAACGTATATTTATGCTATGAACGAACGGATTCGCAACCAGTTAGCAAACAACAATCCATTCTGTTTCCGACACATATCCAATTTAAAGGTAGATGAGTAGTATCAAAGCATTTTATAATTAACACTTGTTTTGGCAGAGTATTGAACATTTTGATGATTCTGGTCCATGTGTGGTTATGGCCAGTCCTGGAATGATGCAGTCCGGTCTTAGTCGAGAGCTATTTGAGAATTGGTGCACAGACAAACGTAATGGAGTAATTATTGCAGGCTATTGTGTCGAGGGTACTCTGGCGAAACAAATTTTATCTCTACCGACTGAAGTACCTACAATGTCAGGTCAAATGTTACCGTTGAAATGTTCAGTAGATTATATTAGTTTCTCTGCTCATACTGACTATCAACAGACGAGTGCATTTATCAGAGAACTAAAACCAAGCTATGTCGTAAGTTACGTAATATGTTAATGCAAGTATTTCATCTTCTTTACGACTTTCCCTCCTTAAAATATGTCTAAGTTTATTATTAGTCATCGAACAACACTATGCTATTTTTTATTTAGTGTTAAACTTATTGCTTGATTTTTTGACAAATTATAATAACCTTTAACATTATTTCCAACTATCATAATGCTAGGAAATTAAATATGTGGTTATCCAGTTTCAGTTTTGGGACTGCCCTGATTATTCTGACTTTGGTTGCTGACTCGCTTCACATTCAGTCTCACGACTATAAACTTCTTCAAATTCCCGTTGTTTATATAATAAGTAAATTAGTAACACTTTACAGTACGATTAGTATCCAAGTGGATTTTACACTGAAATGGTAGTGTCAAAAATATCTAAATATATTTTGGATAAAAAATTCGCTCTTGTTGTATTTTTTATCTAGATGACTTATAGATGTTTATTTAAATTTTATAGGTTAGTGAGGATTTTCAAGCCATTGAAACAAATGATTTAAAATCTTAACTGACATATCTTAAAATCTACAACACCAACTCTTTATGTTTCTGTATGTACTAGATACATTATTACTTGAATGTGGAGTTGTCAGTTGGTGTTTGATATACTTATTTTTTTCAACTACGGATTCAAACCCCATTCTTTTACAAAAACTGAGGAAACCGTCTGACACTAATACTGTTCCAAAAATAGGTAATTCACAGTGGAAGTCATGGTTCTTTTCTAGTTTATCGAAATGTTTGACAAACCTTTCTTTCATTTTTATGTTTATTCACTTGTTTTTATGTCGTACTTTTGTGCAGTAGTTTAAAACGTAAAAATTTAAGTAATGCAATATTCCCCTAGGCCCTGTATTGTACTGGTCGTTTCTTTATTTCAGTGTCTTACAACTCTCTTTTAGGTATTAGTACACGGAGAACAAAACGAAATGTTACGGTTATGTGGGGCTTTACAAAGGGAGTATGAGGATGATGAAACATGTAGACTGGAAATATTTACACCTAAAAACTGTGTCCCGGTTAACCTACGTTTTCGTGGTGAGAAAGTTGCTAAAATTTTGGGCAGTCTTGCTCATAGTGCTCCTAAAGAAGGTCAAACTATTTCAGGAGTACTTGTAAAGAAAAATTTCGCATATCACATTTTAACACCTGGCGAATTACCGAGTAAGTAATTTCGTATTGTTTCTCTGTTAATGATCTCGTGAAAGTTAAATTTTGGAACGCATCTCGAAAGCCTCTACGGCTTTGATGCACATCCTACTGACAATATCAAGAGGTATTTACCACTCCCCTTTGAAGAACCATTAACAGATAATTAATTTCTGTTTGCCTTGATTTATTGTTGGTGTATCATACTTTGGATATGGCTCATTAACTGACATACTTGACCTTCAGTTTTAAGTCTCACTATGTATAATCTAATCTAGACAGCTAAATATTGCTTGTATCTTTCACTTGAAAAGTGTGGTTTCGAACTTAGTACAGTAGTTTTATACGGTTTTTGAGATGTAGTTGAACACAGGAGTAAATGTCTGAATGATTGGATTATAAAAGAAATTTTTCTTCGCTCAACTTGTATTTTTTTATTATATTTAGCATTAATTAGTGATTATGTTGGAGAAATAGTGTATCTCTTTGTGTCTACTATGTCATGTTTTTCCCTATTTTTCCTTAGCATACACTGAACTAGCTACAACTGTAGTAAATCAAGTCATTTCTATTCCATTTACTGGCAGTGCTAATCTTTTGAAATTTCATCTGGCTTTACTTGCTGGTAGTGTGGAAACGGTATCTCAAAAATCAGATAATGTACAGTATCGTGTATTTGATGCAATTAATATTACTTGGCGACCACAACAGATAACTATGGAAGTAAGTTATATATATAGTCAAAGTGAGTTGCAGTTTGTCAGAGATTGAAGATAGACACACTCGGGTTTATTAAATATAGCAGACCAGTTTTAAGAGTAAGATTCAATTTATTAGATGAATTAAACTTCGCATAATAAGTTGCTTAGATATTCTGTACATAAATTTTTATGTTAGTTTTTTGTAAAAAAAATTACATAGTAGTACTTCGTTGTTTAATTATGACTATTCATCTGATACATTTCGATCTTAGTGGCAATCCAACCCTACAAGTGACATGTATGCGGATGCTGTACAGAATGTTATTTTACGTGCTGCTATGCAGGGAATGCCTCCTAGAGGTGAGTATTTTTATTATTTCTTTTGGGTTTTTTGGTACATGGGACTAATAGTATAATCTCCCGACGTTGTATAATAAGGTTTATTTTAATTTGTGGCTTACATAATTCAATGTTAAAATCATTTATTTCAAAAGAAACCAAGTACATTTCATGTTTATCTTAAATTTCTTGTCGACTGTTTACTTAAAAGACGAATGAGTAGTAGAAACGAAACTAAAATTGAGGAACTGAAAAAACGAGATTACGTCTAAGAAGAAAAATTTCCTCATTTTGCTAAAAGCTTTATGCTACCGATTATAACTCCACAGTAAACCGTGTTCAAAAAGCTCGTAGTTATCTAAATCAAAGAAATATATAGCCATAAATTTATGTTATATGTTTGAATATTCCAAGAATTTTCTTACTGTATTTAGATAATATTAAACATTAGGCTAATTAATGGGTTAAAAATATACTATACTGATGAACTAGTCACATCTAAGATAGGGCTATTTGAGTGTGTATCTTATTAAGGACTGTGTAAAATTGCCTTATATCTAGTTCCTAAAGTTGATAAAAATGTCTTCTGTGCAACCAGGTTGTGAAGCTACAAGATCGTATTGGAAAGTACTTGATGTGATTCCATTCATAGTCAAGGATATTTGTGTGAATGAAGAGTATTCTCCTGCTATAATGCTGTTAACATTAATCTCAACACAAACCTTAATATGAACTGTTAAGATATATCTTTTAACTAATTACCGATTAATTTTTAAAATGATGTGGTTTCGTTGACTTATGTATTTATTGTTGTGGAAAGGACTATGCAAATTTTCGAATGTTCCGTTCTTTTTTCAACAAAAAGTATATCTTCCTTTTTTCTTTAACTGCACTCAGGCTTACCTCATCTTATTGAACCGAGCAAAGAACAATTTCGAGCTGCCCTCGAAGTAGCACTTCAAGATGCATTCGGTATTGACTGTTTAGAAGAAGAAATAATTAAGCCTGATGCTAATCATGTTATAGTGCATGTTGATTCTCATGTCGCTGAAGTGAATCTATGCGATTTAGTAAGAAACAATATAATTTTCCCATTTGTTTAGTAAGCTTATTCTAGTCATCCCTAGACTCTTTAACATTATATCTCACTGTTCACCATACGTTGTGTTACGTTAGTTAAACGATTTACCTATTGAGAACTCAGTCTATTGTGTACTAACTTACATTTTGCGTAGGCTAATTAGTGCGATTAGTTTAAAAACATGAATCTAAAGAAATATTGATACATATTCGTCAGTTCACACTTTGTGGTATCAATGTAAATTATCTTTGCATTTCACATTGAATATATTACATTTAGTTAAATGTATGTAAATCTAATTGTCCCATCATCTTCGGCTGTTGTAGTTAATTCTTACTTGAGAATAACTGCTCGGTATTTTTACTGACTAGTGGCACCTAAATGTTTTCTCTTGAAGTTTGCTTAACTCTAAAGTACTAACTAGAAAATATTGAAACCCAGAGAACACTAGGTAACTCTCTCATTCTATTATGGGGTTCCTCAATACACACATGAACCATTTGATTTAATGGTTTGTAGATAACGTATTCACCGTGAGAGTTAAATGTTTTGGGTTCTATCTACAGTGAGGTCGTTGGTTTAGATGGTTGTGAAGTTCATACTCATACGGAATATTCGCCTGGTGCTCCTTCGTTCCCAGTGGCTTCCCACTTGATGTCAGTATGTGACGAAAACTGACTTACGTATCTCTTTAGTCCTCTTAAACAAGCATAGATTTAATTGTCCTTATGCTTTGGCATTCTTTTTGCTCCTCATTATGGCATATTTCAGTGTCAAATTTGGTTTGCAATAATTCACGAAAAAATAATGCTTTTTGGTCATTTGTACAGCTTTCCTCTCATAATAGAACGTCTTCAAATTAACAAATATCTGTGAAGGGAATCATTTCTCTTCATCTACTTGTTATTGATCTGATAATTAACTAGTAGGTTAATAATATTTATCTTAAACATATGCTGTACATAAGATTTAAGCCCACGATGTTTGATAAAGTCTCTAGAGACGCTATAAATAGCACCCTCTAACACCACGTTATGTATATGACGGTTTTTCAACGAAAAACAGTAGTATTCTTGTCGATCTGTTTCAAACCTGTTGTATGGCAACTATGTACATCACGATTACTGTAATCAATTATTAATATTTATAACAGAATTCATTGTAATAGGATTTTCTTTTAATATTATATTGTAGTCCGTCTCGTGTAAAACCAACCCAAGATTGGAGCATATTCTTCAAGTTATGGTCAATCGATTAAACCACTGTATTTCAGCTATGTGAATATCACTGTGAATTAATTGTTTTGTAAATTATAATCTTTTCCACAGAAACTTTTTCTTGTTACAATCATTTTTTTTCAAGCCTTTATGCGTAGTCGAAAAATTCAGCTAATTAGAGGGATAGTCTATGAATAAAATTAATCTGACATCTTTAGTGACTATAATAGTATGGGAATGTTATTCACATTTTTTAAAGTGATTTAATTACAAATATCGCATGTGATCTGAAGCAACAAGTTTCAACAATGAAGACTAAGTGATAAGGGACTTTGTGGTTAAACCGAGTCACTCTAAAGTGTCAACACTTTACTGTATAGATTACTAACTACAATGATCAAGTAATAGAGCTTTCAGATCTGTTAGAGTCTGTCTGTGAGATGTTCATCTCACTTATTCAATCTCCATAATCTCACTAATTGTTTTTTTTATTTAGAATGTCGACTCACTTTGTAGTTCACACTTAAACGAAGTCTTTTGTTATGTATTTCCGATAACCGTACCTCATGATCATAATAAAAGCATCGCCAACATAGAATATACTAAAACCATTACATGATCATCAGTTTTCTGTGTTTAATTAGTGGTTAACGACCTATCTTATCACTATTAATATTCAAATTTTAATCATATTCAAATCGAATCGTTGATATTTAGGGAAAGCTTTCATTGAAGTGTTTATATCTTATACACTTACTTTCAAATTAACTAAACTAATATTATATTACGATACAATATATTTGAAGTAACATGAATGTGAAATGAAATTATTGAATAAAATGTCGAATTCTAATTAACATATGGAATAAAACTAATTTACTTCCAAGGTACACATATTGGCCATGTTACTGCATGTCTTTCAGACAAATATATAACATTATTGAAACCTTATAGTGAGTATTTTTACTATTTCATGAATGACATGTTCGTTACCATTTTGTACATAGAAATCCACTACAATGTTTAATTGGTTTCTGCGGCTGGGTATCTATTACGGAGATGATGAAATCTGTAGGTGCCTACCTGTGAATTATGCAGGAATTCGGTGTGAATATTGTTAGCGTCTTAGTTTCTGACTCACCAAACCGAATTAATTAACCACTGATGGCATATGAGATTCAACTAGATGCGTCAACTATCATATTAATTATCTCTTCACAAAAATTCCGACAGCCATAGAAGTTCAGCAAACCGATTCCATGTTTCCAGTAATAAACGTTAAGCCTCAGTTCAAGTAGGTACATAAACACCCGGGTTTAAATACACCTCGCTGACGAGTATTAAAAGAAAAACAAATACATGCGGTAGATCTTATTACCATCGAATAATAAATTACTTGGAACTTTTATCAACACTCCAGAAAATATGTTCAAATATTTACATGTCAAGCTCCGAGGAATGATCCCAACAAGACTTTGTGTTCCGTTTGATTTTATAACGTAAACCTGCGTAGATTTTTCATGATCACATTACCCTCTGTGTAGCAATCAATCACCGATTGTATAGTGAACTCAACTCCTAATTCTACAGTCACATATTTCTATAAAATACTGGAACTACTAACCATGTTTGAAATTGAGAACGTGTCTAGTTTAAATAATCTGTATTGTGTAGATTAAATTCCAGTGGGAACCTAAATTGGAATATAACTTGTTAAGTTTCTCTTAATAGGTGTAAATGATCAATACCTGCTCATAGGTTCATCATAGTGAAATATAATTTAGACAAGTGACAGCACAAATCCCAAAACATATTAACTGACTATAACATACTCATTAAAACAAGTGTGGAAATATCACCTGGGATTATTTTTTATGATGGAAGGACGCATTAACAGTTAAATTGATTGGGCTTAAGATTAGCACTCCAGTAAGGTGAAAACTATAACCTTGGTAATTATGTGAATATTAAGCAGTATAGTCTCCATAACGTTCAAGATGTGACAGCTAACCAAACGTACAACCCGGTTTTTCCTTAAGTACACGTTTGTCTTTATAATAAAGAACAAATTAAAAGCACCAACTTTCAAATAAATCCGAAAGCTGTTTATTTGTTTAAATGGGCTTCCTCCGTCAATGTAGAAAAGTGAAATAATTTCCTGGACAAGCGGATGATTTACTGGCAAAATATTCTTTCCAAGACTAGGGCACCATACTCTTAAATTATAGCTCTACAAATGTAAAGAAAATCCTTGTCTTGTGACAAGCGGGAAGCCATTGAGTCTAAATTTACAACTCCGGTCAGTTTGCAGTGCATTGCCCTCCTCAGACAACACTAGTTGTCTCGTTTTCTACCCGGTTAATTCACTGATCAGTCCTATGTAGCTATCTCTTATTTCACAGAGAGACAATTTTATAAACAGGATGTTTGTTTTCTCCACTAATACTCAGAGTAGACTAATGTGATGTGAGGAAATTTCCAGTGTTTCGAGGTTACAACACCAACTTAATTATAGTCAGTGCATCCGAGAACACACTGCCGGACCTCGACATTAATTACAGTGCTGCCACCAAATGTGAGCAGTCCTTGAGAGACAACGGTGATCAAACATACTCACCTGAACTATGCATTAGATTTATGTAGCAGAACTGCTTTCCCTAACGCGTTGTATATTCGAACTTTTACACCACCAATGCCACAGATAATCCAGATTATGAGACTTTGCTGTGACTGACTCAGGTATGTCGACCTCAACTCATAAAACTACTAAATGTATGAACATTTCGACTAATTAAAATGGTCCACCATAACAGTTCGGTACGTAAGCTTGTGTCAGCCTTGTGAAACAGTGTGGATTCTGAAGGTGCTAAGCGAACTTACGGGCGCTAGTTCCCAAATTCTTTGAGTGGCCTACCCAAAAATCCCATCAGGATTCATAAATCTATTTAGGCATATAAACTTCCTAGCGATCTAAGAATGAGTCCACTCAAAGATTTTCACACCACTATTGCAGATGCTTTCAACACCAGATTTAAATGAAATGTTTATGGACCCCAGTCAATTTATTGCCTCTACATCATAATTGGTAGTGTTCAAACTGGATTTCATCATTTATTTTACTTAGTTGATAGTAGATAAAAGAAAAACTAATCAATCAACGATTTGCTTTTTATGCACACTATACAAGACAGTAATGATATGAAGAAAACATTTAATAAGTTTACTCAAATAGTTACATAATACTAAATAATTGTACTTACAATTATATATATGTCAAGTTACAGAATTTTAGTAGTTCTAGATGTGTATAGACTTACTCAGCCATGTCAAACAATTTACACACTGATAAGTAATAATGGCTTGTTTTTGAACGACACGTTAAAAGAGATACAGTAAGAAAATAAGAACAGACGGAAGAAAACATATTAAAACATAGGGAGCGAACAAATTATTGACTTCAATGTCAATAAGGAAACATAGAGACTGTTCGTTTATTAAATCGCTTTGCTGAAAAAAGAAAACAGTTAGGCAAATTCATACATACACTCCTTTCGGAATAAGGTAAAAATTTGAAAGAAATTACGATACACGCGATAAAAAAAGTTCAAATAAAATCAATTTAATGAATGATTGATGGATTAGATGAGTAATGTTGCACAATCGGGAAAGATAAAGATAAAGACATCTGCAATGATAACTATGATGGAAGTAGTAATAATTAGTCTAAGATGCCCAATATAAATGCGTATCTTCCTATTTATCAATACATACAGAGGGTCAGATATATTTAGTAATCAATAAAACTGAAAACTGGATTCATCTGAAAAACGAAGTTAACAGAAAGCTTGTTACTGGAATTCACTGTAAATTTAAAAAAAAACATCTCAAATAATTCAAAATACTTTACGCTACTAAACGATGTAAAGCTCTTACCATGAGCTATGAGGCGAATGCTACACAATTATATTATAACCAAATCGTTTGATTATTTATTCTCTGAAGTGGCTTACACCGTCACGAAACGTCGAAAAATCTAATTTTCCTACGCATCGGAGGTCAGTTGTGTCAAAATTGTTTCTACAAAGTAGAGTCTTATTCCTATTTTTCAACGACTGGTCTTCCACCAACTGGCCTAAGTATCACTGTCGAGAAAATCTTTTGGAAAGTTCCTAAGGTTACATTCAAATATATAAATATAATCCTTTCTTCTCAAAATAGAAAAGCTCTTCCGCGAAAACATTTGATTGTTTTGTTTTCTTATAAACTCTTCAGTATTGATTGGAGTGTAATTAAATTATTGCTTCCTTGGTTTCGAGAATTAGCAAATGTCATCGCAAAAACACTTATTATCATTGCAACGATAAAGGTCCTAATTACCAGAGATGCTTGTAAAAGACCGTGATTTTCCAATCGCGATTCACACAAATATACGACTTTGACTAAATTAGTATCACATTTAAAAAAAACACGATAATACTGAGATCTACAGATTGCTCAAGTAATAAATCTATTAAAGGCTATTACAAAAACTGTCAGTAATTGCTAAGTTGGTTAAAATTCTGTTCGTTACCAAGATCATTGGAAGTACAGTAACTATCACAACAAGTAAACTAACTCAAAATAAGACGTTTTTCAAATAACTCACCTGAGTGTTTACATAATAAATTCACGAGCTGACACACGTTTTATAATTTTTGGTTGTTACTAGAATGAGCAGAAGGTATACTCCCAATAATATTTTCTCTAGGATCCTCTTTTTGTGAAGACAAGCTCTGGTATTTAGATTGATGAGCAGGAGGAGGTTGTGGGGGAAAGAGGAGAGTTGATGCCGCACCTAGTGTCGGGTTTAAATTCAATCCCACTCTCGCAGTACTAGACAATGCGCGATGTTGTAGTTGGTCAATCTGTTGGCTAGATAGAGCGACAGCTGCAGACTGGTAGGTAATTTGCTGGCTAAACTTATTTGAATCATGGGGGAAATTCGATGGGACGTTTGGTGCACACTGTTTTGGAAAACCATCATTAACAGAAACCATTGACTTTCCAAGTTCATTAATCCTTAGCTGAGCAGTGGGAGCTTGCTGTGAAGATTGACACTGGGGATATGATTGTC